AATATATTTTAGCATACACTGCCTTTGAATTGTCTGATTAAATGTGTAGCATTATTAAGCTCTTTAAGCTGGATATCCTGCATGAAAAGTGCACTTCATATATTAAGTTATTGTGAGTCGTTATTATGAGATAGGAAATAAATTAATACATTTAAAAGACTGTGTAAACTGCATATTAAAGTATGATGAACTTTGTAAAACTGATTTTCTTCTGTATTTATTTGAACTTTTACGCTAGTAAGGAATAAAAACGACTGTATTTTGTTAATTATTAATTCCTTTCTTTATATTAAATAGATGAGAGCAGCTTCTGATTGGATTTGCTTCCAGTTTATTTTGAGTGTACAGCTTTTACAAACTTTACCGGTATGTAAAACTTAATTTTTTTTGACGGTGCTCTACAAAACAACTTGAAGGAAGAAGGAAACAGGTCGGATGTTGAGATGGAGTTCATCACAGGACACAGATGACCCTCTTCTGTTAAATGGGCTTTTTATAAATAGAGCAAATATGTTTCCACTGCTGTGATCCAACAAAACCCTTGAAGATACCTCAGCGTCCAATCACAACGCTCCGTGTTAACCTCAACAACCAATCACAGTGGTTCATCAGAATGCTCTTCATAACCGGAGCCAATCAGATATTTGAACTTGACTAAATCAAAGGAAATGTGTCTCCTGAGGGACGAGATACTTCGCTGGCCACATATTTCATTTCAAAGGGAACATGTGGATCATTTGAGAAGAGGGTACACAAAAAGACACACTACTCTACTCATGACCTTAGCCTCAGTATTTCTAAAATCCTGGCCATTTGCAGCGACCCCTAAGTAAATAAACACACTTTAATGCAAGAAGTAACTTGCATTGGCTCGCCGTTATTTCCTGTCCGCTCCTTACTTTATATTTCTTATATATAACGGATATAACAAGCTTCAATAACTTCAATTCTGGCAAAAAAAAGCTGGACAATAGGCAGATGGTGATGCTAATTGGAAGCTAACATACTCATCAGTGTTTGTTGAAGGGTTAAAAAAGCAGAATAATGTTCCTTCATCCCTATCTGACTCCTTCCCATCTCTAAACAGAATCCCAACAGAATCATGACATATTTAAAGAGTTTTGTACAGAAATTGTAGCTCTGATCTCACAGTGAAATGGTCCCAGTTCATTTTCTATTTCCAGAGGAATGACAAGTGTTTCCCAAAAACCCGGTACACTGGATCGGAGTTATTTTTAGAGGCTGATTGTTGCCGGGTATCTCTCGGGAACGCCGATGTGTGCAGGCGCTAGGTGGGAGTGATTATGTTGGAGACGTGACAGTGGGCCATCAGGTGCTGCGGATTTGAGAGGTTCTATTTTGGGAGGAGCGCCTGTTTTATGTGGGTTTTATTGAACAAGTCTGATGCTCGTGCCTGGATTACAGTTACAACAGGAGCATGCTGTGGGTACTCTCAGCTATTGTGGTGCTTAAGTCCGTGGGTTAGGAGTCATTTGAGATCAGGTGTGCTGGATTTAGGATGTTGGGTTCATTTGATTTATATTCATTCCCTTTCCTGGATTATATCAGATTTGAAAAGTCTGACAGGGTGTACTGAATCCACGACTACAACAACAACTAAATGTGTTTGCCAATAATTGACTATTTGATTGAAATGTATAAGAGATAACACCTGAGATTCCACATGTATAAGGTAATACATAAGATTCAAACATTTTTGGGGGGTGAATCGTCTCTTTAAGGTTGAGTGTTTTATCCTGATTGAAACATTCATCCCTTCAAATGGAGAGTAGGACAGGTTTTATTCAACATTAAAGGCTTTAACCCACCTGACATTAGATTTCTCTGTATGTAATCTTATGTATTACATTAAGAGACCACTTTAATGTCATCAGAGCGGGTTTCAGAGTTGTTGTGTCCTGCGTTGTTGCTCGCCTATAAAGGCCCCCATCAGATAAAGTAGCTCTTAGACGAGGCCTCTGGGGAGAAGCTCGTTGTACGCTGCTCCACATAGCTGGCTATATCTGGAGAACAGAAAGGGAGAATGTGTGTGAAGCTGCCAACAGCAGCACTAAGTCCTCCAGAGTAAACACAGCTGATGGGGTAAACCATCCTTCTTCACCCCTAAAATGCCCTTCCTATTCCTCTCTATTCATCTCTACCGCTTTCTCAAACAGCGTAGCACACTTACTTCAACACAATGACATAATGAATACCGGCGTTATAATAATGCAATCAATTCATGTCCAATATTAGTGTCAGCTCCAGCTCTGTGCAGGATGAAAAGTGGAGTCTTTGTAATTCAATATATCCTCAACACTTCCTTCTGTCACAGCTAACATGCAGAGCCAAACATTCCTGCGTTAATATCGTACAGTGAAGAGGAAGAATTGTTAGACTTAGTGGCCTGCTTTACATCTGCATGAAAAACAAAGCAGTTTTCACAAATCGAGACAGATTGGAAAAGGAAAATATTAACTGATGTATAAATTAAAAGGTTTTCGGCATTGGCTTACTTTTCAGACCTTGAGGTTGCAACTTGTGTTAAACTCACGCATGTATTAGTTGGTTTTTCTGCATCCTTTAATATCACCTACCTACAGTAGTTCCTGAAGAAACAAACCCAACGAATGCGTATGTGCAGGGCCTGTTTTCACTCTGAACTTAAAAAGTATATCCGATACAGAGCAGATCAGTGCCAAATCCTCCCTTGTAAATACCAGATGACCTACCTTTGAATACTTCTGATTCTGCACAGTGTAAATGAACCAAAACAATGGAGATTAAGGGGCGACTCCGTTGTTTATCTTCATGTTAGAGCAGAGGGTTCTGTGATTTCTGTATTTCATTTAAATGTCTCTAGTGTATAAGCTGAAGTTTAGTTCTAGTCTCAAAAAATCCTGTTAACATCCGTTCCATTTTTCATGAGCATGTGGTCAGTGGTGTGAAAAATGTCACGAGGGAAACGTATTTTACAAGAACATGACTGGTTTTCCTTACCCAAAGCTTTCTCTCTCACTGGCAGATTGTCTGTTTCTCCTGCTTTGGTTTTCTGTTTCTCTCCCTCTGCATCTCCCTCTCTTTTCACCATGTAAGGCTGCAGAGAACCAACCACTCGCTGCTGGGACAGAAAAACAAGATGAAAAAGGGAGAACTGTTTTCTTACAGGACATTTTTTAAGAATGATTTCTTAGCTAGGTCTAAAAGTAATGTGTTTGTGAAGAGGGGAGATGATAAAACTGAACCATTGAGGCACTAGAGTCTGTCAGATATACATACATTTTAATAACACTGGAAATTGATCACACATTTAGAATTTCTGCCCTTTTGCTTGTGTCAGAATAAAGTCACTTCTTCATATTTGACTGTGTGTTAACTAATAGATATCACCATGAAACCTCTCCAGCTGATTCCTTACATTAAAACCACTCTTTTTTTTTAATGAAATTGGGTTTTTAAATATGCAAATGAGGCCATATCTAATGCTAACTTTGGGTGAATTTAGAAGAAATATGAAGAAGGACATTTTCTTCCCACAAGTCAGAAAGAAGACATGGTGTGGAAGCCAAAACTTGGGCACAAAAAAGTACAGTCCTTTTATTATGTTAAGGGCAGTGTACGAAAAAAAAGACCTTAAAAACACGGTGCAACAACAAGACTAAAAAAAATACAAATTCAGCTCGATGTTCCCCTATGAATAATAAATAATTGATGTGTTTACATACTTTTTACTTCCGTCTAGACTTATCTTATCGTATTCTCCTGCTAATAACACCGGTCTGCTTTCTGCTTCCCCAAAAGGAGGATCGCTGTTTCATCTTATCTTTAGACGAATACACACATGTGACAGAAGAGGCTGAGAGACACATATCTGCTGTGACTGAGTGCATTACACACAGCCTGTTTACACACACACACAGTCTCCTTTTAAGGCGGATGCAATGCTTTCTGGGCCACAGCGGGGGGGTTATTTTTACTTTTCCCGGACTTTTTAGAAGGGCTTGTATGTTTTGATTCCTCCCATGTGGAGGATCCTGCAGGACTTAACCCCAAAACAGGTCCTTATGTATATTTATAGTGATATACGTGGGTATGCATCTATGGAGTATGACACAAAATACACATTTTAAACGTTACCATGAAGGTTGGCAAGATAAAAGACTTTAACAGCATCAATTGGATTCTTTGATCTTAAAAATTAGCACATAGGAGAAGCATTTTCAATAAATGTTATACAATAGATTCTCTGGTGCTGTTGTGCTCTTGCTAACAGGCACATACATATATTATTTATTCAACAGGAGCAACAATAAAAAAGCTGTTGTTGTTGTTGTTACGTGGCTGGATTAAACCAGCCTGATGATACAAGCCACATTTAGATTATGCGGCTATTTAGGAAATTATTTTGTCATGGTCTGCTTCAATATCAGGATCCCAGAGGATCAATTTGCGGGCTCTTTGCTGGTGTGGTCATGGCCGAACTGTATATTTAGAGGCTCCATCAGCTGTTGAGTGTTTATCAGGCTGCCAGGATAATGAAGACAATAGAGTACATGATGTTTGATTGGGAGCCAAGCTGCCAGCCGGCTCAGGAATCCAAACAAGGTGACCTGTGCAACGCTTTAGGATGCTGAAGGGGCCGCAAATAAATGGATGAGCACAAGAAGAGTCATTCCCCCACGTAGCATTGTTAGTTGTTCTCTGGCTACATACAAGTGCATCTTCTAGGGCACTTGGTATAAGAATAAGAAGATAGGGCCGTCACGAGACTTATATTGTAGAATATATCTACAATTACGTTACAAGCTTATTAATCAAACAACTTTCAGATTTTTTGACACTAACCTAAATTCTTCAACAAGTCTACACTGTGATGCATGTATGATTCATCAGACATGGTCCAACCTCGGCATCCCCACTCTCCTAAAATATTTTCTAGGATGTCCTGCCTCCCTCTCCCTCCCCCCCCGCTTCCCCCTCCCTCTCTCACATTGTGTTTACAGCATTGGAGAGCGATGCATATCTGACATTTCTCTCTCAAACTCCCAGCAGCTCTGTTCTCATCTGAAAGGTAAGAACCAGCATCCTCTCCTCACATCTGCTCTTTATTTCTAATTTCATTTTAGGGTAGTAGATGGGGAGATGATAAATGATTATAAGGCTCAGAATCAATAATAAGACTTGAACATTCATTTAAATATGCTAAGTATTGCTATTTCTAGTAGTTTAATGACTATAAAGCACTTCTTATGGCACCCTAATGGCTTTGTAATTAGTCCGTCGGTTAGATTAGTAGATTGATTTACTGTAAGGGTAACTATGTGTTACAGAGGGAAACTGTGTAAAATCACTGCTTCTTATAAAAAAAGTCCTTGTTCACACACAGTAAACTCTGCGCAGAGGGCTAGGAGGGGGAATGGAAACTGGACTGAAGTTCCCAGAGGGATAAACAGTCCTCTCCACTTCTTACATTCCCATCTAAAGCACATGATTTTTCTGAGCGCTCATCAGCTCAAATCTAAAAAAACATGTCATAGTTTTACAGGAGCAGACAATAACAAATCATATTGGCTTCAGAAAATCAATATGAGATGTTTTTTCCCCCGGATATTCATCCTGTGATCTTGATGTGTGGACTTTTCCATTCTGGCAACAGATTTAGTTGTATTTACGCTATGATGACCTCTGGACGCAGAAGACAAAAGCCAGCTAACAGGGATGTCCAGTGATTGAGAAATTCAATACACAATAAAGAGGAAAAGTATATTGATCAATAACAAAATATGCAAATGATGCAAAATAATAAAAAATTAAGCTCACAGGGAAAATGGTAAAGATTTGAGAAAAGTGTGTAACAGAGACTATAATTCTTCAGATGTAATAAGAGGCTTATTTGGGGGTCTTTGGGTTGTGACATCTGTTATAATGGCTACTTAACATCGGCTTTAAGAAATGACAAAGCCTGGGAGTATTTACAGTCAACATTTCACTTTCCCTTTTTTTGTGGAAATGAGGATAGAATATATAGAATAGAATAGAATAATAGAATATATCTTTATTGTCATCACACATCAGTGCAACGAAATTCAGTTGGCATGCAATACATAACATAAATAAGAACACATCCATAAAAACAGTGATAAAGCAGAGATAGTAGCAATAATAATCAGGGTCATCACAGATTACTTGCACACAGAGAGGAAAACAGGAAATGATTGACAGTCGGCACTCGGCTCATAATGATGTGGCTGATGTGTGTGGACGAGTGGAGGATAACACTCACACACACCTCAGTCCCTTAACCCCAAAGGTTTCAAAGTAATGACACAAAAACAGCAGATTTCTCTCAATTTCTCTGATTCAGGGGACAAAAGCTAGACAGGGGCCTCATAATATGCCAGGAATTACTGATATGTATTGTTTTTGGGCAAGTCTGAGCTTCTGTTGATGCTGAGGGAAGCTAAAGACAGGAAGCAAATACAGACATGAGACAGGGGGTGAACACTTTAAAATCAAACAGAAAATCTAACTAAACTAAGCCTCTAAATGCAGGTAATTTCAGATAAACACTATTTCAAACTACGGCGCATTTCATTTCATATGCAGCGGCTGTCTAAGTCTCCAGGGCTTATGAATTAAACCCAAAAAAAAAAATCAGGTCGGACGTTTAAGGTCTCAAAGCTGACGTGCACTCACAGTTATCCCAAGAGGTTTGAAAAGGTGTGTGCGTGGGTGTGTGTTAAGGTAAAGACTAAAGTGAAATGACAAAAATAGATGTGTGGAAAAGGTAATAAATGGCTCTGAGAAAAATATATAGTAAATGCAGTATTGATATTACAAGCAGTGAAAGAATACACTTTGTTTAAGCAACATCCGCAGGAAAAATAACTTAGAAATCAGACTGGGTATTTTTCTTACCTATGCAATGATTGACTACTTTCAGATACAAAGATAACTAGCCTAGAAGCTTTATTTTATATTTAATACAATCTCAAAATGAGGTACGTGTTTCACTTCATGTCTTTTCATAATGCACACCTCCAGTCAGTCACATTGTGTTGCTGCCTCTACAAGAGTCTGGATCAACACATCACCAGCCGTCCACTGGCGCCTCTGTTATCATCACACCATGTGCTGCGATACACGAAGGTCAAACAACATCTCAACAGGAGGCATTACCACAGGAGGGGGCTAAAGGGATTCATTTGTTTTTGTTAAATTCAAAGGCAAAGTGAGATTGAACTATGTCGTTAACATGCTTTTCTTACTGTCTGTGTTAAATGTAATTAATATCCTACTTTTGATCCTTCATGGTGTTAATCTTATCTTTCCAGCAGCAGAGAGAAGAGAAGAGGCTTAACAAGGACTTAACCATTTTATGCTAGTCTACCAAAAACACCTGACCTGAGCTCACCTGCAGCAGTTTGACTTCACCTGAAACCAGCCTGAGTTTCTCGCTGCAAACAGGCCCAGCAGCCTGACCCAGCTCTCTGCTTTCTTAACAAAAATCAATCAAAATCTAACCTGTCCCCATGGAGCGTGTCCAGCACATGACCAAGTCTGCCATACGTCGAGCATCCATGATCGAGGTGACTCCCCAGGCCAAGAGGAACCTGCAGGAACTCTTCGTCAACTTCACCCTCATCCTCATCTGCCTGCTGCTCATCTACATCATCGTCCTGCTGAGCAGCTGAGGGCCACAGGAGCCTGACACCGTGCAACATGGCAGATCTCTGTGGACGAGGGTTGGGTTGAGATCTATTAAGCAATAATTTATCAGCTCCATTTTTACAGCTTAATTCCTGACAGCTATGAAGAACGATCATGTGGTCCATGTGAAAACAATATCTGGCCAAACCCTGTTAAAAAATGGGAGCTTCCCTGCCTCTTTTTCTTGAGGGAATGATCCAGCTTCAATAGTTTAAACTTCCCTGAAACATTTCATGTATTTTTATGCTGCTCTTTCAGTCCCTGCTTACATTAATAAAGTGTTCAGGTTGATTTAACCTCTTTATTCAAGCCATGTTGCATTTCAGTGTCTCCTGCTTTAAGGGAAGTATATGTAATATTGCATTACAATGTATGAAAAAAGACTAGACTTATGTTAAATATTGTGTAGAGTTATGATATAATAACAGTAAACTCTAGAAATCTCTAACTTGAATCAAGGAGTTTCATTTGCTCAACTTGTTAATGTGTAAGCAGTCATAAAGGACTAGTGTTAAGCCACATATACAATAATATGCTACACTTTTGAAGACATAAGACGTATTTTAATTTACATTTTAACCAGATAAAGGGTTTCAGTCAACAGGTGTCTGAAAAATACCTTTATGCACATTTGGCACCCTGTAAACACTTCCTCTGGAACTTATCTTTGAAAACAAATTGAGCTAACGTTAGCATTAGCTCGCAGCCACATCCAGTCAAACCTTATGAAGAATGTGAAACTGCTTTATTCAGAGTCTTTACTGGTTTTACTCACCGTTTCCACTTGTTTTGGAGAGGGTCTTTCTGGTTAATTCGGATTGTCGTAAAAAAATAAATAAAACACGCCTAAATGTCTGCATATTTCGTAAACAGAGAACCAAGATGATAATGTTAGCTTCTGAGCTAACGTTAGCTGTTAGCTCGCAGCCCCTACATTCTATGTAAGCCGAATTGCGTTGGAAAAATAATGAGTTTAAACATGAAACAGTTTTATTTAGTGTTTTAACTGTTTTTCTCACATTGTACATTATTTTCGAAGAGAAGTAGAGCACTGTGGCTAGTTCGCTCGACATGATAGTGTAAGCATTGGAGTGAGAGTTCATGTGTTTGAGCTGAGCATGCGCAGTCTCATTAGTTATGGCTTCTACGTAGTTACCTACCTTACCTGCATGTGTTCCTAAAGGTGCACATGAACATTTCTCTCATTTAATTCACTATGTGAGTTATGGACTACTTTGCTTGGTTTTTAAAGTGTGCAAATAGAGATTTGTAAACATACGCTCACCACAAACAACCTGATAAAGACCTTATGAGTGTATAAGTTGTTGCAGACTTCACTTAGCATGGTGTGATTTCACTTAATGTTGTTATTGAGGAAACAAGCAGTTCTTATATGTGTTTAAAGATTGCATCACCTGACTTTTAAACTGAAACGCTAATGGTCAGTGAAATTAAAGTGTTTTCTCTTTCTGGAAGTGTGGAGAATTTGTTTTTTAATGTATTGCACCTACTGATTTTACATTTTTGTAATGTGTACACACACGTACAGTACACACGTACACACACATTAAAAAGAGCACGACAGATGGCTTTATCTCACAATCATAATTTACTGTTCCATAACATACAACAGAAATTATATAAATATAAATAAATATTGTTGCTATAATTGTTATATATTTTTTACTTCAAAAAAGACAAGACAGACATCATTAAATAATAAGTCACAAAGCTGTATTCAAATCACTTTCAACTCAAATACAAACTGTAACACATTTACCATTTCAGTTTATTTCCTAAAGTGTAAAGATGTCACAATCTTTTCTTCCAGTTTTTTTGCGTTGAAAGTGAAGGGAAAAAAACCCTGATCAGCAAATCGTCACATACAACATTTTAACAAACAATTCAGATTTAATGAGTTGCAGTTTCTATGGTTCACTGATGGTCTGTTGATGCGTTTTAAAATAAAGCACATTTCCAGTTTCCTCTGCCAGGCTTTGAGAAGCTGTTCAGTTTGAAAGGTTACAACATTTAAGACAAAAAGACATACATCTCAGGGTAACAATGGACAGGGTCATGTGATGGTGAGAAACGTCTTTAGCTCAGAGAGAAATCGATCAAATGGCTCAGAGGAAAGGACATACATTACTCTCCAAACAATACAGAAAGTCAAAAAACAAATAAATAAATATTTCAAATATTTGATATTTTATTTGTACACGTTTCTTTGTTCATAAAAAACAATAAATAATATTGAAGATTATGTGATATGTGTATATAAGCTTTGAACCTCAACTTTTGAGGCGACATTGACGAGAAAGTGCAGTAACAAATCAAAGTGCAAGGGGAGATTTAAGTATCTGTAGTAAAAGGACAACAGAGCAAACTCTATCAGCTGATAGATCATGTGATATAATCAAAAGTTCACTGTATGGACCCTGTGGTTTCACTCTATCACTTTCAAACAGGGCAGCCTCCAGGGTGTGCTTCTTCAAATGGAAATAAAATAGTGAGAAAATGCATTAATTAAAAATCGCTTATAAGAAACTAAACACTTGTGCATTGTCTGATGCAGATGTTTGAGCGTAAATGTCAATATATCAACATATTCATTTGAATAAATATAGTCTTCACAGTGCGCATGGATCCCATATCATCCTCTGTATTTATTACAGGTCAATATTTACAACTAAACAATGTAATATCAGCTGTGGACATCAGGATCACTTTCCCATATGACACATATACACACAGGATCTCTCTCAACTTGGTTCCAGGAAGTGTTTATTTTTTTTATCTTACAAAACTGTTGATTTAGAGAAGCTGTGTTAATGTCATTTTACATGCAGTAAAATGAGCAGATGAAAATTAAATGCTCTTTATAACAATTTAATGACCCATCAAAAACCTGTAAGTATTTAGTAGATGTATGAGGATTGTATTATTAAAGTGTCTTTAATAACTTGTGAAGATAAACAATGAAAACACTTCCTGTAACCATTGAGGCCTTTAGTGCAGGGGTCGGCAACCTTTTTGATATGAACTGCCATTCCAAAAAAATATTTTATCAGCGTGCCGACGAACGTGCATTATCAGCGGGGAAGCAGTGCGTGGACCTGTCAGCGCAACTTACATGATGCCAAATTTAACAAAGAAATTTAAATAATTGGTTTAAACGGCATAATAATAAGGACGATCGTCCGTTCTGTGATTCTCCAGAACACAGATGGCCAGTCCGCCCCTTTATAGCATATTATTTCAATGAGAGATGAGCAGATCGCCTGGGCTTTCAACTAAAGACACAGTCACGCAAAAACTGCGGCATTTGTACAGCTCCTTATGGGTACTGCAATTTGTGAAGTGCTTTCCTCGGTGGTGAAACGATCAGCACTGCATCACGGAGGAAAGCGGCAGAAAGTCGCCTGGAGTACGGCCCGTCCACACAGCGGCGTGCGTTGACGCTTCACCATTCACTTTGAATGGGGTGACGTCACTTTTCGCCGAACTGCATTGTGGGAAGCGACACGGAGCGTTGCTTGCTGCAAAAGTTGAACAATGTTCCGGCCCGTCCACACAGCGGCGTGCGTTGAAGCTTCCAACGCTTCTGCCCATTCACTTTGAATGGGGTGACGTCACTTTTAGCCGAACTGCATTTTGGGAAGCGACGTGGAGCGTTGCTGGCGTAGCTGGCGTCAAAAGTTGAGCAATGTTCAACTTTTGACGCCTCGACGGAGGCGTCAGCCAATGACATCCCGTTTATTCAAATCTGCCAGTACAATCGCTAGCCAATCAAACCGCGTGTATGCTGGGAGAGACTACGCAGGTCATTTCCTCATATTCCAAAAAATTGAGGGAAAATTCATTGTAGCGGTAGTGAATCACCCGGTGCTGTATGATCAGTCTCTGTTCATCTACCGGGATACAAACCGGAGGAGCGAGGCATGGAGGGAGGTGGCAGAGACAGTGGGTGAAACTGGTAGGTTTTCGCCTGTTTGGGGATTTTATATCCAGTTTACTTCATTTTAACATTGCTATTGCTTTGTATGTCGGGGGCGGGAGATTCATGTGATTGGTTGTTGGTCGTGTTGCTCGCAAAAAATCCCCAAGCTTCAGATACGCCCACCTCCAAGCGTCAACGCACGCTGCTGTGTGGACGCTCCGTTCAACTTTTGACGCCTCGGCAGAAGCGTCAGCCAATCGAATCATATGCCAGTACAAGCTCTAGCCAATCAAACCGCTGCTTGTGTGTCAAGGGCGGGAGATTCATGTGATTGGTTGTTGGTCGAGTTTCAGACACGCCCGCCGGCAAGCTTCAACGCACGCCGCTGTGTGGACGGGCCGTTAAAGAGAGAGGGGCTGCGTTGCGTGGCATTGCATGGCTTCCTTCTGCAGGTAATAGGGAGACGCGCCCTGGCGGGGGTCTCGTTCAGTATCCGAAAATACAATTTAAATATTTTTGCACACTTATTCCTAGTGTGCCACTGGTTACGGTGCCTCGTGCCAATGGTGGCCCGCGTGCCAGGGGTTGCCGACCCCTGCTTTAGTGGATTCAGCTATGAAAGACGAGCTGTGAAGAAACGGTTTGTGTTGTCGTTGGAAGTAAACTCTCAAACCTCACGTTTCTCTGTCCAAAGAAACAGCCTTCCTCTGGCTGAAGGTGACCATGCAGTCTGGAAACTGTACAGGATACTGAATGGACTTCAAGTCATGAAAATGACACAAGAACAATGTAAACTTTCAAGTTAGAAAACAGACGGTACACCAAAAAACTGAACGTGTGAGGATTTCAAGTGAGTGACAGCAGCATCATGATAGTGTTTCTGTTTCCACATGCTCTAAGGTCTGTGTCCTGCAGAGAGGCGCAGCAGGAGGCTTCAGGCAGCGACATGAACACATAGCAAGTAATGAAATAAAGTGTCTGATTAAACACTCCTTGGCATTAAAAAACGTTCAACATGTCGCTGACAGAACTCTCTTTCTGCACATCTCTGGTCCACCACATACAGACCGTAGAAAAACAGTAGCATGTTACAAATATTGCAATAACAAAAATATGAGGGGTGCTTGATTCCTTTCCTCTCCATGTTCAGGTGTGGTAATCAAGCCCCCCTATTTGAAAATGACTTTCAAACATAAACTGTATGTACACAGTCGAAGTACTGGGACAGGAAGCTAAAGTTAGGCTTTTTATTTTGCTGGTGTCGTCATTGTGGAGTACTGTAGATTATTTAGGTAAAAAAAACACCCGAATCAACAGCAGGGTTTGTCCCTTTTTCACAAACACATGTTTGAATGTGTGCATTTTCACATGGGGAGACAGCATGAATGACTAAAGGCGAGTATCAAGGCAAAAGACGTTCTCCTGGCTGAACCTTAGATCACAGCGTGTAAGACACATGTTGATGTACAAAACAAATCTTATATGAAGGTGAAAACATTTCCTCTTAATCTACAGTTACTAGTGTCACACTTTATACTCACTGCGACAGTTTGTGACCTTTTTGTATGAGCTTAAGTACCCAGTTTCTGTTTCAAATATCATAAGGGATAATTATTTCATGGAGAATGTTTAAAGGCAGTTGTTTCCAGTTATGACAATTTATTTCCTCATATATAACATGAAATAACTAAGTCATAAGTCTATTCGCCTCATTACATTAAAATGTATGTGGGATACTTTGAAGGGTCTTAGGGTTAGGCTCTCACAAATGTCACATGTTGCAGACGGTATAAAAGTGTTACATGCACACTTTCATGTTCGGGCACTCATAATGCGCACTATGTATGGGAAGCCCTAAGGTTGCAATCACACTGAAGCACACACTCAGCCCTGCACATGATGGACGTTTGATATACTAATGTCGTCCAAATGACTTTCAAAACCTACAGTTTGCTGTCCAACTTTAGCTCTCTGTCCCATTAACTTCATTCATTTTGACAGATTTGTTTTTGACAGTCAGAAAGTGAAGTACTGCGAGTACAGGTCCTCATCTTTTACTACGCACTCGAGGCTTTTTCCCGCCTCCACCCCCGATGGGTCGGGTGGGGTTGTGGCGTTGGGTTCAGGAAGGCTGAGGGAGGAAACAGAAGAGACACTCAAACTGAGATTCACTAACATACAGTAACAGTGGCAGGGTGCTTCCCATTTGCGACGTGCACTTTTAAATCACTGCAGTTCTTTTGAAATTTCTTTGCAAGTTTGGTGAGAGGCTTTTGTCAGTGTGGACTGAGAGTACATTTCAAAGAGATTCTCTGAGCGATTGTGTGATAGTTCAATGATACGAAAAAGGAAAATGAGACGTTAAAGCATAATGGATCAAAAAGAGATTCTATCTTCATTCGATTTCTCTGTTGACCCTGAACTAATGGAGAGAGACTGCAGCGATGTGAGGAATGAAAAGATTCCCATGTGATCCATTGCATTGTGGTGTGAGGGACAAAAAGCTCGAGTAAAACTCACATACTGTGCATTTAA